GAAAGAGTTAAAGATATATATGTGTGTGTGTGTGTGTGTGTGTGTGTGTGTGTGTGTGTGTGTGTGTGTGTATATATATATATATATATATATATAATTATGTATATAATTTTTCATCAAATCCAGAGTTTGCAGTGGTCCACTGTGCCGTGATTATTTCTCTAATATAGAGGACATTAGCAGCTAATGCTGCTTTATGAATTTTGTGAACACAATAAAAATACTGTAATTACACAGGCTGACAGAATGTATGAATAATGATGAAGTGCTTCTATACCTTAAGATTTAACCTTGATATTTATCGTGTACATATGTATTGATATATTGTCAAATGTGAATTGCATTCCTAAAGGTGGCAAATAATATCTGTTGCTATTTTTATTAGTCGTAATAGTATTTAATGATATTTATGGAATGCCACTGATCATGTTAATGATTTGTCACAATAATTGTGAAACAGATAAATATCAATTAGCATCACTTTATTAAAAAAAAAAAAAAAAAAGAAATTGCCAGTGCTCACATTCTCATCTTATCTCCTCTGCAACTTTCCTAGAAAGTCACAATGGCCCATCGCTGATGAGCTATTTTTTTTAGAAGAGGCCCGCAGGCTACTCATGTGGTCCTTTGGGGCCTTAGCTGCGCGTGCGGGCACCAAATTGCTGAAGTATGAAATACATTTGCTGAAACATGAGATTACATTTGTTTTTTCCAACATTCAAATTCACTGACAAGAACTTGCACATTAGCTTAATGAAAGATTCGGAATCTTTCGTAGGTATGAATGTGAGTGTGTTTGACAGGTTGTCTATACATGAGGCCTAAGTGCCTTGTGATTGGCTGGAAACCAATTCAGGGTTTACTCCACCTCTCACCTTAAAATAGGTTCCAGCTCACCTGCGACCTTATTGAGGACAAGCTCAACAGAAAAACAATCGACGTACACAACCAAAACGACAACTAAAATAAGAAAACATGTACATACAAAGTACACACAGACATGGGTCGTCATGCAAGCACGCACACAACATCAATGAAATACTGTATTGCTTCACAATATAATGCGTTGCGTCACATCCCTCGCTGGTTCCAAATTGAGATTAGTGTGTCAGAAAAGTGCCAAGAGGGATTAGGCTGCTCTTGAAGAGGCTTATTCACAGCAGCAATTTGTTAGCAACTAACATGAGCGGCTAATCCTCTTCACGGGAGGAGATGAGGGTGGAGACTTGCCGCACGGAGCCTTCCCGCCCTGATACGCCCTGACGACAGTTGAGGCCGCACGCCAACACGTTTGTGTCACGCTGCCAAAGCGGTGACGGTCCACAATGTTGTTGGTTGTTGTTTTGCTTATGACATGATGAAACACCGACAGACAGACAGAGAGAAATGAGACAAAAAGCAATTAAAGGAGTCGGGAATGCCACAAACATTTGCACTGATTTTATAGTTGTGTACTTAAAATTGATGTCAGCACTAAATGAGACATCAGTGATTTTAGGCTCGTTTTGTAACACAATTCATCAGTCCCTATCACGCCCATTTTCTAAGGAACATATATATATATATATATAAACATAGTTTTTGAGCGGAAAAATGGGCCCCATAGTGCCTTTAAAATAAACAATTATGCCACAACACTATTCTGGGCCAAAATAATGAGAAGCGCGAAAGCAAAAGCAAGAGCAAAAAGACAAATCAAGAACAACGACTGGTACTTGTTTTATTGGGTGATGGATGGAGACAAAAGGATAGCACAAAGCAAAGACAACACCTTCTCGGCAGACAACTTGCAGCAATTAAGGAAGAAAGCAATCGCAAATGATCAAACCTTCTAAGAATGTCGATTCAGGGGGGAGATACCTTGATGAAAGAGACTACAAAAAACCAATAATAAGAATAACAATTAAAAAAACTCCAATACAAATAGAGGATAAAAAACAGACAGCAAAAAGCAGTAATAGACAACAGTAGAAATGTCTCGGGGCGGCCCGGTGCACGAGTGGTTAGCTCGTCGACCTCACAGTGCAGAGGTGCGGGGTTCGATTCCGGCTTGGGCCTCCCTGTGTGGAGTTTGCATGTTCTTCCCGTGCCCGCTTGGGTTGTCTCCGAGTACTCCGGTTTCCTCTCACATTCCAAAAACATGAATGGCAGGCTGATTGAACACTCCAAATTGTCCGGAGGTGTGAGCGTGAGCACGGAGGGTTTGCACGGAGGGGTGTACCCCGCCCCCTGCCCGAAGACGGCTGGGATAGGCTCCAGCACCGCCCGCGACCCTTGTGAGGATAAAGCGGATCGGAAAATGGATGGATCGAAATGTCTCCTGGACTTTCCCTATCAGGGTTGCCACAGTGAGTCACCGGAATGATTTGTTTATATCTATTTGGAATTGACATCATCCAGCAGAGATTCCAGCATGCATTACCTTGTGGGACGCACACGTTTGCTTGTGTAAGGACTGAGACTAAAGCTCACTGTGTGCACGCATAAATAAAGGCCTTCTGTCCCATTTTGTTCCTCACTTTGTCTCAGCAGGACGAGGGGACAGGCCGGACCGGGGCCAGAGCGGAGTGGGCGGTGCCATCCAGCAGGTTGTTTGGAAGTGGCCCAAACGTGTGGTCAGCTGACAGGGTTCGCTCGTGTCCAGAAGGCGCCTAACAGGATGAGGCCAGGCGGCCACGTGGCGGATTACAAAACGCGAGAAGAAGGTAAAGAGATTAGACCCGAAACAGAATCTGCTGTTTTAACCTCATCACTGTTGCCGCTCTGACGGGAAGCGAGGCCGAACTTGAGTCGGAATTCCGAGTGTGTCCCACCCTGTCTTTCCTCTTCCACCCCCTCCTCCGCTCCCTCTGCTCGTCCATCCATGCAGCCGCCTCTCCCGTCCACTGGGATCCCGCCGAGGCACCCAGGAACTTGAACGGCACCGATGAGGACACTTGTACACCTCCTGGACATCGTGTATACCACCTTGGAAAATTAACCCGCCATGCTTTTTAAATTAGGACTACTCTTCTTCATTTGGTGTCCGCTGGGCCTCCAAGCAAGCCAAGCTAAAGGTAGGATAGCACCAGGGGAGGACATTTATTTATTTTTGGCAGATGGTCGGCATTATTTTGTGAGGGATGGCGACAACATTAAGTACCTCCACCACCTAATGAGATCCAATGCAAAAGCTACAGTATATCACAACATTCAGTCTTTTCACAGTTGTCGTGTTTTGATTGCGAAAGGTAGGAATCCATCTTCAGAAGTGTTACAAATGGGATCCACTGGATGACTGGTAATTGATCATCCTGATTTTCCAGCAAAGACAGCAAAGGCCACCTTAAATTGAACAGTTTTATGACCATTTCTGACTTCAGCTTGAGTGCGAGGCAGCACAAGCGGTAAATCAGCAAAGAAAGCGTACGGAGATTCCATGTTAACTACGAAAGAAAAAAAAAAAAAAGAAAATTTGATGAAGGAAAATTACATTATACTAAGTACATGAAAATAGAATAAAGACTATGGTGAATTCCTGGCAGGATAATTAAATTTTTTTTCATTATTATGATGCGATGCAATATGGTTTTTATTGCAGCTGCTGTTTGTAGTCGTGTCACATTTTACCGCATCGATTCGAGAGCTGTTTATCTTCTGTAGGACTGCGTCAATATCATGAGAAAGTGCCCATTGCTGTCCTCATCAGAATAACTCAGTCATCCTGAAAATAGAGCGACGAATGACACTTATCAGTACAAGGAAAAGAATCTTAAAATGTTTTTTCGTCATTTTGTACACGTTTTGTCTTTGAATGTACGTTGCTTTGGCACGTCCGTGGTGGATAGTTGCAGAATGAATATTTTGATGTTTTGACATTTTCATCATATTTTGAATGGAGTTGGGTGTTGTTTAGCTGAACACGTCCACTCTGTCCTAGTGAAATATCAACTGATTAAAAAAAAAAAACTTTCATAAATTCGAAATGCTGCACATTTATAAACCACACACAGTCAGCTGGGTTAAGGATACATGTTACTATCTGAAAGTCCACCATGGGCTCGTAAAATGTAAACATCGCCCAAAAATGTCCACCCTGTCATTATCAAAATGGACAGCAAGCAAGCTCACATTATTTTGCAGTTTGCATGTGCATTGTCTGCTTGCAGTTCGTTACAAGGAAACGTTTTATCAATATGCATTTCTAGCCTAGTGGAAATGTTCAACTTTTTGCGGTGATGAAATGGGGAAATGTCAAAGGCACCTTGTGGGCTTTCTACTGTATTATTAATAGTATTATTATCGTTATTATTATTGTCATGCAAATGGCTGACAACCACTCCAAGTGTATGACACCTCTTGCCCACAGTCAGGTGGGAATGATAGGCTTCTTCTTGGAATTATTATTGTTATTATCAGCAGTAATAATAGTAGCAGTACCATCAATGCTAAATTGCTTACCATAATCTAATATTTTTCATGTTTCAATTCTAGCTCTTAAGTAACAATAGTTGGTAAAAGTACCATTTGTTTTTGAGAAAAAAAAAGAAAAAAAAACAGTTGGTAGTGGTTGTTAAAACACCCACGTACACTTAACAGCACATGCAAAAAAAAAAAAAGTACAACAGATAATACACAAACAAAAATAAGTAATTAAATAAAACATGCACATATGACAAGATGGCTGTTAAGGTTTGATTTGCTCACACGAGAGGAGCAAAATATCATAAATGTCTTACAGTACAATGCCGTGGCGCTTGTACACCACTGCAAATCACAATCAGAGTCTACTAAACAGCGCCAGTCAAAGCTCAGCGTGAGGCAGAATCTTTGACACTGCCCTTGAGCATGCAGGTGTACCTGGGCAGTGGTATTTACAGGCACGCTGAAAGGCTAAAATGAGGAACTTTTTTATTAGAGCCACAAAAGCCCGGTGAAGCTCACAAGTGCTCTTCCATGAACAAAACAGGTGGCTGTGTGAGCGTGGATAATATAATGTGATAACGTCTGGTGTCTTGATCGGTGTGATGTGCCCGCTTGAGCTCATTACGCCGAAGGAAACAAAAGCCATTCTGTTCCCGGCGTCACAGGACGCTAATCTTTTCTGGCTCGTAACTCTGCCGGGCAGCCTCCTGCGCCTGCGTCGGCTATTAAGGCCTCTCGTCCCTCCTTCCCTGCTCTCATCCCCGTGGCTGTGCATGTGCACACACACACACACACACACACGCACACACACACACACACACACACACACACACACACACACACACACACACACACACACACACACAAATCCTCATTTCAGCGTCGTTTTATCAAAAATAATGCGAGACCACTTTTAACGCCTGGACCTTTAATCAGTGTGGTTTACCTGAGAGCCCAAAAACCCGGGAATATTATTTGTCTTATTAAATTTCATCCATCATTTTTTCATTGTATTTTTCTCAAGTGCTTGTGGTCATTGGAGTTGCGAGTGAGCTTGAGCCTGTTCAAGGGGACTTTGGTCGAAAAGTGGGGAACACCCTAGACTCGTCATCGGCTAATCACAGAAAAGCATTCACATTCACTTCAGCACAAACTGGCACACTTTAAAATAATGTCGTATGTAATGCAAAGTGAACGATTGATTCCAGGGTCACATCCATCCATCCATCCATCCATCCATCCATCCATCCATCCATCCATCCATCCATCCATCCATCCATCCGACCACCAATTCGCACCTACCGACAATGGAATATGGAAGAAAGCGAGAGAAAAACACTTTCAAGATTCAAACCCCAGCCCCCGTGAACGATTGATTCCAGGGTCACATCCATCCATCCGACCACCAATTCACACCTACCGACAATGGAATATGGAAGAAAGCTCGAGAAAAACTCTATCAAGATTCAAACCCCAGCCCCGTTAAAAAAGTGAGGCAAACCATAAGCACCCCATGCTGCTAATTTAAAGCTAATTTAAATTAAAAGCAACTAACTAAGCGTACAATTCAGGTCGAGCATTTTCCAACTGTGACTGTGACCACAAATAAATATGAGCGACTTCATGCGTGTCTAAAAAAAAAAAACAACAAAAAGTAGGAAGAAAAAATATATAATGTTATGGAAATACAGTTGTTCACTGGGGAGAGGAGTCTAAAGATTAACCAATATTGATAACCTATACAGTAACCTGATAACATGATAGGCTGTCCGCTGGAGTAACCGCTGTCCCTGAAAATGATAAAAGAGCAAAAATATTTGTTTTGGATGACACTTTTTAGTTGTCTGTTTTTGATATTGGGAAACAAAATATTCCGCCCCACAAATTACCAGAAGCGCAAAAGGTGACCCGGTGTCTCGCCTGACAATGACTCTTTGGATATTCTCACTTTGAGACCATTTGGTATTTATATTTGTGCAGGGCCAAGTAATTTTATTTCTCCATTCCCTTTCGCGTATGATGTCAAGGGTATCTCACAACACAACACGGTACAATGTGCGCATGTGAAGCAAAGGCATGAACAAAAGAAAAGTTGGATAAAGACACATAATGGGCATCAAAAAAGTTTAGTTGAAATGCGACAGTTCCCTCGCACGGCGTGTGAGAGGTGCACTATTCACTCTCTCAAGGTCGTGCCACTGCTCTTTAACTTGGAAATCTGAAGGACGTGCTTTGGAGTGTCAATCCTCAAGGCTGACGGAAGAGGAAAATGCGCCCACGCCGCATCCTTTCTCTCTCAGTCACATTGTGAACATTGAACATTTTTATCAGTTTACCTTTTCACCGTTGAATTAGCAGGACAGTTCATGAAGAACACACTGTGACCTTGTGTCCATCATCACATCATGTCAGAACTGCGCGCAAACCTTAAGCAGCATTAGATTTTGCTCTCCCATCACCACACAGTATAAAACCATTTGTGAGTGTTGGAATGTAATGAGAAAAAAAAAATCCATATAATATTTACTGTTTACTCCTATTGTATTTGGAATCTACGTGACAAAATGAACTAGTGTCTAAAGAAAATGACCAATGAAGATCAAAGGAGCATTGCCTCTCAAAGTCAATTGGACTAAGCTCCAGATCAAGACTTTAACGTTTTCATGCACCCTGTAACCTGAAAATATGATCAGCTGCCCACTGTAGTAACCGCTGTCCCTGAAAGGGTTAATAACTGGGCAATATATTTCATTTATTTTGAAATGAAATATTAATATATTTTTTTTCCAACAGTCATACGTAAAATTGTAAAGAGAAAAAATCCATCCATTTCCTGATCCGCTTTATCCTCACAAGGGTCGCGGTGCATGCTGGAGCCTATCCCAGCCGTCTTCGGGAATTAGGCGGGGGACACCCTGAACCGGTTGCCAGCCAATCGCAGGGCACACAGAGACAAATAACCATCGGCGCTCACAGTCACACCTAGGGACAATTTTGAGTATCCAATCAGCCTGCCATGCGTGTTTTTGGAATACGGGAGGAAACCGGAGTACTCGGAGAAAACCCACGCAGGCACGGGGAGAACATGCAAACTCTACACAGGAAGGCCACGACCTCTGCACTGTGAGGTCAATGCGCTAACCACTGGACCAGCAGGCCGCCCAAGAGAACAAATAACTAACTAAACAAATAAATAACGGGAAGTCTTATGGCCCTATTTTCATGCCCAGCACAAGTCTAGTACTAAGTGCAGTCTAACTGTGTGCATGGGTGAAGTTTTCTTCCTCCTATTTTCCGTGATTGGCGCAGGTAGAATGGGGCCTTTGCACCGCTGTGCACCGTGGTGAGCGGAGATGCAGCTGCCTCGTTTGCCATCCACTGGAAGCAGCTCCCCTCATTATCTTTGAATTAAGCACACAAAGAGGCGTGCGGTCTTCATGCAGATGCAAGAGATTAGGGCGCGCAAAGTGCATTTAAAAGGAACTAAGGAACTGCAAAATCTACACTCATGGATTCTGTAAAGTTGGCAATTGCCAAGTTGGCACTTGGAGACCAATTTCTGTGTGTGACAACCCCAGCACCCATAGATCTGCTGTGGTCAGCGGGTTGCTTTGAAAAATATTTTTAAGATGACAATAATAATCATAAACTGTCCAATGAATTGATTTGTACAATGATTCAGAGGGATTGTCGCACGCTGTTGTAATATTTATGAATGAAATACATTGACATCCACCATACGTTCATGGAGCTCAGAATCGATCAAATCCACAAAAAAAACGTGTTGCACTACCTGCGCCACAAACCTAGACCTGCCTTTAGCTGGTCTAAAGTCTAATCTATTTTCTGTCACCAAATTGTCAAGTGCGCCGGGGCAAAAATGCCCTCAGTTCGCCGGAACACCCAGCGAGGCAAAACACCGTTTGCCAAATTCCCAATCATGGAAAATGGACTTGTCCTGGGGAGAAAATGAAGATGTGCCAGTTTTTAGGCCCAGCGCACGTATGCCTGTCGACCAAAAGAGGGCCCTTAATGATGCATCATCTCATGCATCTCGCTTTTACATCCCCTCACAGCACTCATTACAAAAAAGAAGCACATTTAAATAATCCGTGGGAGGATCAAACTGTTGCCATCCTAACTATAAATTGTTTCTCAGTTAAACATTCTTGCCATACTAGCGCATTAATTAACAGTAGGCCTAGATGCAATATGAATAAAATGCGTACAAAAATTCTCTCATTCCAAAACAAGTTAACCACTGCAAATGTTGAAACATACAAACAAGAAAACTGTAGTGTAAGTCTAACACACAATTATTTTATTCATAGTAAAAGATTACAACAACAACATATCTGAACTTTACATAAAAAGTGACAAGATATACTGCTGGTTTTGTTCAACCACGTATCAGTCGACAGCAGGGGTGGCCATTACGTCGATCACGATCGACCAGTAGATCAAGGACTGGTGCCAAGTCGATCTGAGGGGTGTAGAGGGAAAAAAACCAACAACATTTGTGTCTCTGTGCATGTTAGTAATATATTTTCCTCTTTCACGGGAGGTTCTGGTCCGCGATAAGCGAGGGATCACTGTATTTCCCAAAACTGCATACAAAGCAATGTCAAAATGCGAAGGCCATTTGAGCAACAAAGCTAGTGTTTATCTTAGACGTTTGAACAAACAACACAACCTGAGCGCTCGGTGCTGCACACTGTTTGTCCGCTGCCTGCACACGAGCGTGCATGAGTCCATCTCGCTTGCCAGAATCGAAAGAGGATCACGTTGCAGAATTGATCTTGCGTTTTGTTTTTCTCCCCCTTTCCGCCCCAAAAAACAGCAAAGAACAACAACTCCCCAAAATCTTGAGTTTTCTTTAAGCTTGGTAGATAATCCAAAGGAGCCCCTTTTTGTTATTTGGGTCTGATGACTTCCCGTCTGTGTTTGGGGGGCTCATAAATCCTGGCTTATTGTCTTAAGGAGCCCTCTGAGGGTTGCCACCTGGCATCACAATGCTGGCTTTTCTTCTCAAACAGCTCTGATGTAATACTGACGACTGGCGCACTGGCTTGTGTAATAGCGCCGAATTAGCTTCTGCTCATACTCCCCGTCCGAGCTAAGGTCTTCTGCACGTGGGCAGCATGTCGCAGCTCGTCCGTGCCCACGTGGCCGCCCGTGTTGGAGTTATGCGTCATATTTGTTGATTTTCATCATCTTTTTTTGGGCAGTTGATGTGATGTAATCCTGAACAAACTGGAGTGTGCTGTCAGGATATTCCAGTCACATTTGACATTCATAATTGACGTGTAAACTGACCGGGGAAGAATGAGTGACTTGACCAGTGCTACTGGTAATGATTGACAATTAGACTAGCCGATGATGGTGTCATATTACTACAACCGAGACTATTGAAAAAAGTGTCGGACTTATGTAGAGATGCTGATGAACGTGGAATCTATAAGGAAGTGTTTGGAATCAGAATCTGAATGAGTTTGTTGGCTATTTGTGTAAGCACCACATTGAAAAACATTTACAAGTGACCAGCAACATTCAAACAAAATGCAACGCAAGAGAGAACAGCAATAAAACTTGGCTGGAGAAAACATGCCTGCTTGTGGAAAAGACCCATAATCACCTTCCAGAAGGATAAATTACTGCACAGAATGAAACGTTTTCCAACACCTGCCAGGGAAAAGGAGAAACGGTCCAAGATACAGTGCCAGACAATGGGCACATTATTTTCATTTCATTTCATTTTGAGTTGTTCGGGCCGGCCTCAGCACAGGGGGAGAAACTCTCAGCAAGAGAAGTAGAACATTTAACTGAATGCCTGAAGGCACACGAACAACAAGGCTGGCAGCAGGATGACCTGAAGGCTAATTTACAATACTTGAGGCCTGAGACAATATCACCCAGGTCGGGCACATAAGTGTCAGTTTTCTGATTCTTTACAGTTTATGTCTATAACGGTAACCCCTAAAAACTTAATATGACGATGGGGCCAAAACGCACCATGATGCAAAGGGGCATCAACGTAATTATTGAAATGTAGACTGACCAACAAACAGACACAATTACACAAGCCAATGAAGAGTTACTACAGCTAGAGATAAGACTATCACGATACAATATTGGCACAAATCTATCACCTTTTGAAAGGGCAGAAGTGCAACAGGCTCCTTCTGCTTGGCTTTTGTCTTGACTAGACCAGATTAATTTATTATTTTTTTTAGGCCGAATGGTTTGTTTCACTTTGGAAATGAATACTGTTCTGCTATCTTCATAGAGCAAGCAGGCCAAATCTTTGTGTGACTAACGAGGTGCCGCTCAATTACCAGTGAGCAACACGGCAGTACTTTAGAACATCACAGAAAATTTGGATGTGGTATTTGGTTGTTGCATTTTAATTCCCCAGTTCACACAGCACATGGATCAGATTTGGCTCAATTTGACTTCTCCCTGTTCCCCAGACTGAAACATGAACTATGTGGTCAACATTTTGATACTGATGTAGTAAATGAGGCATTCCTTGAGGAGTGTCATTCAACCTGGTTTTGGAATGGATTAATGCAACCGGAGCATCGATGGAACAAATGCATTGAATTCCAGGAGTATTCTGTTGAAAAATGATAATAGACCAGAATTCTACCTGCCTCTTGTCTTGTTCGGACAGGGAACTTTTGCGACGCAACTCGTATTTGCTTGATTTGTTCATTCTTACAGGACCTATAAAATGTCCAATTTTGTAATTCTGTATTTAATAGTATGATTGAATTTTAACTATATGAGTCCTCTCTGCGAAAAGTATTATGTTGGTATCAAGAAAATGCTTTCTGTTTCTACTTGCAGACATCCAGTACCATGGTATCTCCGGACTCCGGGATGTGAGGTACCGGTACTTTTTAGAAGCCTCCCGAATGACAAAATATAACAGTAACAAAGTGAGAGCCAGCGAGGATGGACATCGCAGGAAGAGGTCGACCATTCTCACCACTGGTGTCAAAGTGTGTCCCCATGAGACCATGAAAGCTGTTATCGGCAGCCATCGAGCATACTACAAGCTCCGAGGTAAATATGCATATGCTCTTTTTTAAATTTATTTATTTATTTATTTTTACCTGAAGTCCATCCGTATCACATACTCAAATATTTTTTTTATTTTCTTTTTTATATGTTCTAATGTATTTTAGTATTATCTATCTATCTATCTATCTATCTATATCTATATCTATATATCTATATCTATATCTATATCTATATCTATATATATATATATATATCTATATATATATGAAGAAATGTGTTTGTCAATTTATTTCATTTATTTATCATGACAATTATCGTCATTTATGTTTACAGTAGAAAACACTTGAAAAATGTTTTTTTTTTTCAGAAGAATACAGATTGGCAGCTGTACTGTCGTGCCCGTCACACTTCCCATAAAAATACCTGCTAAATGTGCTTCACTGGACGAACAAAAAAGTAGATTAAAGAAGAAAAATACAAATAATGCCATTAATGATGTAAAAAAAAAAAAAAAAAAGGATATATCTTTTTGGAGTAGAGACACAAAGAAAGCCTTGATATTTAGCATTTATACACAAATGGTTTCTGTCCAATAAAATAGATTGTGTTTGATTCAAGCTGTGCATTAAAATGGCCACCCAAGCTGGGACAATTCATCCGTTGATAACATGCATGACTCCAATGAGTCATTTAAAAAAAAAAAGGATCAAGATGACTTTGTGTTGCGGACGTAATCGCTGCGTGCCGAAATTAATTTGCCAGAGAATAAAGATGATGTCAGACCTTGCAGGCACAAGAAGATTACATTGTGTTTGGGATATTTATATTCATAAAAATATGCAAATGCGGCAGATTAAAAAACATGAACAAGTTGACCTTTATTGAATTGGCCCAACTACTTTTAATGTTTTATTTATTGATATTACTGTACTGTATTTGGAGTTGTGCTCAAACGCTATTAGGAAGCAATCCAGTTTGTACAGTGGATTTACATAATTACATGGATGAATATATGAATAATTAACAGAATGGAATAATTAATTTAAAATAATTGATTCCACTGTACCTCAAATAACGTATGCATTCTTGCGCATAATTTTTCTGTGCTCCAATTTTCCTGTGAAGGAAACGACAAAAAGCTTTTGAGAGCGTTTCATAAGTACAAATTTACAGTTCATATTGAATGTTAATAAGGAGTGGAAAACAGACGTGCAATGACAATTCCCAATTCCAATGAAGTTGGGACTTTGTGTAACAGTGTCAATAAATACAGAATCAAATGATTTTGAAATCCACCTCAACCTATATTCAACTGAATACACTGCAAAGACAAGATCATTAGAGCTTTCTATTTGTGCCTAGCACAAGTGTAAGGCAAAACATGGTCTAACTGTATGCACGGGTGGAGTTTTCTTTCTTTTGGTATTTTCACAAATACATGCAATTAGAAAAGGGCGGTGTGCGCCACTGCGGGCATGACAGAGACACAACCGATTCGCTTCGCAGCCAAAGGAAGTGGCTTCTCTCATTCCCTTTAAACTCCAGAGGGGTACAGTCTTTCACATGGAGGAAACAGAAACTGATTCACCATGCAGAAAAGCCGAAGTGCGCAAAATACGTTTGCAAGGAATTGCGAGCAGACCTCCACAGTTGGCCAGGACGATCACAATCACCGCTGTGAAGTGGACACTTGGAGATCGCCTTCCAAGCCGATTGTTGGCATCGGTGTGTGACACCCCCCAACCCCACGCTCTCGGTGCGCCAGAATGCCTGACTTTGTCAAATTACCAAACATGCTAAACAATCCCTGCAAGGCACAAAAAACAAGGCATTTTTTACGGCCCATCCCACATGGTGTTTGCGAATATATATTCCTCATGTTAAAACTGATCAACGTTATTGTTTTGTTGCTGCTGTTGTTGTTGTTTTTTTTAAATACTCAATTTGAATTTGATGCTTGCAACATGTTCCAAATAAGCAGTGACAACAAAAGACTTTGAAAGTTGTGAAACACTCAAAAAACCAAAAAAAAAAGAACAAAACATTCCACTGGTGAACAGGTTAAGTGAAAAGAGATGCGTGTCACGAATGGGTATAAAAGTTGTTCAAAAGCAAGGATGTAGTGAGGTTCACCACTTTGTGTGAACTTTTTCCACCGACTAGATTTGGCAATAACACAAAATGTCATCTTCTTTTCAAGTTTGTCAGGAAGCCATTTGGGAGGCCTTTCGCATTTTCCTGGACAGGGTGCCAAACACAGAGGAGTACCAATCTTGGGTTTACACCTGCCAACATGAAAATCTCTGTATGGATGACCTGGCTCAGAACTTCAGTAGTTCTCAGGAGCATCTGGACATGGTGGCCCGAGTGAGTGCTACTTTGCTTGCACTGAAGCTGATAGTAAACTGACAAAAATGACTACTACACAGGCACATTTTACATTAACATGAACATTACTCCTAAATGCCAAAATAATAAACGTTAAAAAAAAAGCAGAGATTAAATTTTTGAACTTCAAAGTTAAATACAACTGAATTGGTGATTTCCTGGTGTACCATTAGAGGGAGCTTGCACACCATTAGCGGTACACGTACCACACTTTTGGAATCACGAATCAAACGAGATGACATTATTTTTTTCTTTCAGCGAGTGGCTGAGCAGGCTGAACTTGAAGGGTAGGTTCAAATTCATCTTTTTATGTAGCGTTTTGGGGATGTTTCTTGTCATTTTCTTGAAGATTTCTTTTGTATTTCGGTATGTGCTTTGGCCAGTTCGTTCGAACCAGATTTGCATTTTTTTTCACTTCGATTTGCTTTCACTGATGTTGTCAGAATGTTGTTGCTTGTGTCATTACATTTTTTGTGACTTAAACCATACGTTTCAATGCTTATTAAAATTATTAAAGCGTAAGATAGATTTGAACCCTTTCATGGACCCTGTAACATGATAAGCTGACCACCGTAGTAACAGCTGTCCCTGAAAGGGTTTTAAAAAAAGTGACATTACTAAATGGGGTTCTTTGACTAATATAGGACTCATTTAATAAAACTAGAGTGAAAGTCATATTCTAATGGTTAATGTCTCATTTACCAGTGTTGTAATGGAAACACCGGAACCGGGGGTGGAATGTGAGTTAAAGACAAGTGAGCTCATGACCTACCCATTCAGTATGCATTGATGTGACCGACTAACAATATGCTAACTTGCATATTTAATTTGGTCTCAGGCACCTGGACCCCCCCAGTGATTCTAATTCCAACAGAAGATAATATGGTATTAAAACACAGTTTCAGTAACTTCTTTTCAATGAAAACGGTTGCACCGAGTGACGATTTTGTCTGTGCCAGATCACAGAAGAGCCAGACATGATAAAAGAGAACGACGGGGAGTACATTGTGGAGTTTAACGCTACCATTGTGGAGCCGTCGTACATTGAGCTGCTGCATGACCCCCAGGCGGCTGATGCTGATGACATCACAGGAGAAATAACCGACAAGGTACAAACGAATGAGGATTTTGAGAACTTTCTTCCTCCTATCAAACCACTTTGGCTGAGTTAAGTTCTTGAAATAAGCATAGATTTGTTTAAACGATACTGCAGTCTGCCCTATACAAATGTCACTTCATCTTCGAGGCTGTCTTGGCCTTGCTTTGTAGACTGGAGCTACTTTATGACCTGGACCGAAGCCAAGTGGCTTTTTTCCCTTACAGCCACATTGGGATGGCGAAGCGTGTCCACTTTACTCTTGGCCCAAACACAGCCATGAATCAACGTCCACAAGGGGTCTTATTGCTCGCAAGCCAGAAGGTTAGGTCTTGAGCTAATTAGGTGAATAAGTACTCCAGGGTCACCTCATATTCTCAATGGTGAGGGAAGGGTACCATCTTTGACATGATTTACAACGCTATCAACTCAAATTTTGCCTTTGGCAGTGCAGCAACTTCCAGTGGACTAGAAACTCATTGCTGTATTCGGGCCATTGATTTCTTGGCAAGTCCAGCATTGCTATGGAAATGGAAGTCATCAATTAGAAGCACTGACACGGTATTGATGGTTGCATGCTGAGAGTTCAGATATGGAGAGGCAGTAGGGGAGTCGGATGATCTGCATTTCTGAACAGATGTGTTTTTAATTGGCTTTTAAATCAGTCGAGTGATTTAGAGTCGCAGCTGTCTGGGGCGGAGCTCTCGAAAGGTTGGGGGCAGCGAAGGCAAAGGTGCTGGGGTGTAACATTGGAGGAAGTCATTGAGATTTTGGCAAGCAAGAGGACACAAAACTGTCCTGTCGAGAGAGCCAGTGAATATGTTGGGAGACGGTTGGAATGTGTTCTGGGATTTTACAGAAGTCGATTCCAAGAAAGTACTTCATTTGTCAAAGGGACAGAAACATTTGTTGGTTGTATTTCACTCATCCGTGAGGATTAATGAGCAGAATCAAGATCCCGTAGAAATCCCGCAAAGTTTGGCTTGAGCGCAGAGGTGAGGCAGCTAGGCTAACCACAGGGACTAGGTGACAACCAATTCTGAGTGAGGGGGTATCAGGAGAGGTTGAGGGCAGCGGTTTCAAATTTCGGTCGCCTGACAAGGATCCTGATTATTTGCATTAGGTGTGTGGCAGAAAGGGAGAGAGATGGAAAACATGCAGGAAAGAAAGCGGCCCTCGAGGACTCGAGTTTGAGATCCCTGGTTGAGGGAGAAGATGATGTTGACTTCTTTTCTTGAAACTCATTTTCAAGAATTGCTGGCCATGGTTGTTTTTGAGTGTTGAATAGATGATGGAAGTCATGCGTGGTTTTATCTAAATCTAAATCTGGTGATCATCAATATCATTGTCCACTGTATGATGTGACATCATATCTAGTTGAAGATCAGAAAGGGCACCCGGTGAGATGCAGCTCGTGATGGAAATGAAGTTAACGCTGATCAAGAGATAAGATCAAAATCAGATTAAATGTGACTGTATTTTATCTTTAAGAAGAAAACAAATGTTGGTAAAGAGCAACTTTTGAAATCATGTCATTCTGGGTTGTATTTAAGTTTATGCCTCTTCTTCCGGTAGATGCTTCATGCCCTTAAAAAAATTCCAGGATTTAAGGAAATTCGCATGTTGGGATTCAAGTGAGTTTACTCTGTGTGTGTGTGTGTGTGTGTGTGTGTGTGTGTGTGTGTGTGTGTGTGTTTTGTCGGTAAATAGTATGGTAACAAACGACAAAACCAAACGACACAATGAACAGAACACAATTGTTGCATGCCTTATTTCTTCCCTGAATCGCATTTTTGTAACTTGACTTGTTGTGTGCATCAGCTCAGAGGATGTGATTCTGCATTATGCCGTCGTCTTTGATGGAGACACCAAACTCAGCGATGAACCTGAGCCTCCAGATGGCCAGACAAATGTGGATGCTCCTAAACTGAGGCATATGATTATGAAAGCTTTACAAAAGGAGCCATCGCTTCCTCTGGACATCCAGAATCTAACCTTTGAAGCTGGTGAGCACAATTTTCACGCTTTTTCAGTGGAGCTGCTGAGGAGAAAGTACAATTGATTTTTCCTGTGTGTCTTCTCAGTAACTACAGCCTACCCAGATGCAGCACTCAGCATGTACACCACTGGGAGCGGGGATGTCATCAAGGTCATAGAAGAGGACACCACCCCAATGTTCTTCTACACAGTGGCAGCAACAGAAAAGACATTTGAACGTATGACAATTCAACCTCAAACACACACTTTGGCGTCTTCCATACTGACCACCCTCCCAGAATCCACCTCTGCACCCTCAGTCGCCGATGAGGTGCCAGTGGCAGCAGCAGTGGAGGATGCATCCGGAGGTGATTCTTCAGCAGAGATGAGTGATGTCATCACGCCAGCTACAACACCAGAGGCCATCTTAGAACAGGGACAAGAGGCAGGCGTCAAGGATGAAAGTGCAATAGAAGTTAACAGTGGAGGTGAGGTGATCAATCAATAATTTCTCTGAGGGTCAACATTTATAAAAGTATTTTTTCTTTTGCAAGAACCTGAAGGGGGAGACACGGGAGAGAATGATTACGTAACTTCGTCACCACCAGACCCCCATCCTGAAATAGTGATCATCGATGAAGCTCACCTCTCTGGCACAGAATCGCCATTGTCGTTTCATGAGGACGGTATCATAGGCATGGAGTCAGTGTCAGACATGCAGCCTATACCGTCACCTGCAGACAAAGAAGATGCCCCCATCGAGGTTACCAATGAAGTAACAAGTGTTGTCGCCACCAAAACCCCTATCGACATCTCCAGTGGAGCCAACAGCGACTCTTCCAATGAGGTTCCCATGGAAGTACTCAGCAAAATCTTTAATGAAGCTCCCAGCGAGGCCTCCAGCAAAATTTCTAATGAAGTCTCGAGTGAAATTCCCAGCGAAGTCCCCACAAAGTTCTTCCGCAAAAACCCTAGTGATGCTCCCAGTGATGCCCCCATGGAAGTCCCCAGTGATGTGCCCAACAAGGTCTATAATGACGCTTCCAGTGATGTCAACACCAATGTCCCCAGTGAAGTCTCCCAGGAGGTTCACAACACAGTCTCTGTTGAAACCCCTGGTGAATTATTCACTGACACTCCCAGAGACGTCACCGACAATGTGCCCATTGAATCCGCCAGTGATGGCCCCGGTATTGTCCCCGGTGCAGCCTCCAGTGAAGCATACAGCAAAGGCCCCAGTGAGGCCCATGTCAGGCCCCAAGTTGACATTCCCAACAATGTCTCAACTGAAACTGCCAGCACGACCCACGACGAAGCTCCCAATGAGGCCCACAGTGAAACTGCCCACGCAGTGCCCAGTGAAGCCCCCAGCATTGTCCTGACTGAAGCTCCCGGTGAGGCCAACAGTGAAGCTGCCAACGCGGTGTCCAGTGAAGCCCCCAGCATTGCCCTCACTGAAGCCCCCAGTGATATCTCCAGTGAAGGCTCTGTCGAAGCCCCCAGTGAAGTTCCCAACCCAGTCCCCACAGAACCCCTCAGCATTGTCTCCAGTGAATTATCCAGTGAGACCCCTGGTGAACCCTCGAGCTCAGTCCCCAGTGAAAGCGATGCAATCGATTCAAGTGGAGGACCCAGCGGAGTGATCCCAGCCTTGGCGGACCCTCCTTCAGAAAACTCCAACATCCAGGAGGATGTGGAGCCGAGACAGGGTGGGTCGGAAATGCCCGAGCCTTTGGAAGAGGACAGCAGTAGTGTTAGATACCCTTCAGAGGCTGACGAGCGGTCCACAGCCTCCCCAGCCTCAAGACAAGCCAGCACTCCAGTGATGGCCGCGGTGCAGCAGAGCAGAGAGTTAGTGGTTTTCTTTAGCTTGAGGGTGACGAACATGATGTTTTCTGACGACCTGTTCAACAAGACCTCCCCAGAATATAAATCACTGGAGAACACCTTTCTCGAGCTGGTAGGTACACAAGCTTTTGCGCTGGATGTAATGTTGATGCATGCAACCTTTAGGTACTTTCTTTTATGAGCTCATCAGTGTAATGACAACGTTTATTTAATACGTGACAAGGTCATTGGCACTTAATATGGACTTTGTGAGGCTGCACTTTGTAGCAAGCCTTATTCTCACAGCTGCCAATTGAATCAAACAGGTCGTAACGAATTTCTATTTTTTTCTCAAAATATACTTTTTTTTAAATTTTATATTTTTTTTTTATAAAAGTTGAGAGTTTGACATGGTGGAAAGGCCAAATTTCTAAAGGTGTGCTGTTGCCAGCAAATATTAGGTACAGTACTGAACAGTGTACCACCTATCAGTGAGTTAAGAGTAGAAACAGCACAAAACTCAGCAAGAAACTTGTTTGTTGACATTTTATTGTATTTCATTTATTTTTTAACTTGGTGGCTGCCCCTACAGTTGTTCAGTGTATTGACTTTTTCTGCTGTGTTGAAATGCAAGTTGACTGTGACAATCATTTATTTGCAAACTGACAAAGACCCAGGCCAAAGCTAAAACAAGCTACAGGAGCCAAGCTAATGAATATGTGTGATAAACACTAACAAAACTTACATAAACATTGTGTGATCATGTCAACATACATACCAAAGTTTATACGAGTAACTGCATGCAGATATTTTGACTTTAGCACCAACACTAGCGCGGAATAGAGCAGTGTCCTGGATGGTCTCAGACGACCATGCCAGGTGGTTTGGGGTGGCTTCTGTTTTGTCTCCTCGTTTCAAGCCAGCGTTCCAGCACAATGTCTATAAAGCGGTTATTTTTAAGGTCAAACGTTGACTTACTTCTAGTCAAGTGTTGAAAAAGAAGAATGAAAAAGTTCTACCAATAACTGTGTTTCACTCAGACTCAACACTCCGGGCCCAGAAAGCCGCCAAATCCTGGAGCATCCAGTAAATCTGGGCCTAGGAGACAGACAACTTTAGCCTCCATACCGGTATTTTTCTTCCATATTGGAACTCACACGTGTGACATCTCAGAGAGAGCGCAAACCTTCTACCTAACCATTTCCTAATCCATCTTTCCTAACTCGGTATGACGAATCGAAGGCACACTAACACACATTTCACCATAGAAGTTGTCACTTGTAGCCGCCTTTATGTTTAGCTTTGGTTCACCTCGAGTGTTTTTGCCTTAATTCTGTCTTCAGCATTCTTGAAACATGTTTGATTGATTGTGTCTGTCTAAGTTTAACGGGATGTGAGGGTAACGTTATTGACATTTAAAAAAAAAAAAAAGATACAAATCACCACTAATGCTCATTAATTAGCCCTGCTACGCTGTTTGATTTGTTTTAACCTCCATAAATATGAGGAAAATGCTGACATTTTTATTTTTGAATTCACAGATTTGATTGACACTCAAAACCGACAAGGGGCAGCACACATTTTACTGTACGACAAAATAATGAGAAGTAATTTCTAACTTTGTCCCAAAATTGACTTCTGAAAAAGATGATTCAGACTAAGAATACCTAAGCTACTTTTCAAATGACATGAATACATCAGTATGAAGAAATTTAACTTGCTATGCTAGCTTTTTAGGCAAAACGCACTGTAGATAGCCCATTTTTCATTAAAGTGCAAGATCAAATAAGCAGAATTTGGACTTTCTTTATATTCTTAAGGCACAATCTCTTGCGTGGAATTATTATTATTATTATTTGCTGTTGTATAAAAATGTTGTGCAGTATGTTTTATTGATTTATTTTGTTCAGCGTCTCATAACATGGATGCGTTGGGGCCTTATCAACAACACTAATGTACAGAGACTTGTTCTTGTGACAATTTAGTAAGATATATAAATAGTAATTCACAGCAATTAGTAGCTAACATTAATCATGAACATTTTCTGCTTTAATTGTAAAAAACACCATCTTTTTATGAATAAATTGTGCTGAAATACTTCCTAACGCCGTAACCATTTTCAAATGATGGAAAAATATGGCAATTCACGTCCAACATTTTGGAGTAATTACGACCACAATTCCATTAAAAACAATATATATATATTTATATTTATATTTATTTTTTGAAACTTCAATATAGATCTGCGTCTACCTCTGCAGTGGAGTAAATATAAATATATAAATAGCTATTAGGGGAATTACAGTATTAATATCAAATAGTAAAAAAAATATTGGTGCTTGATTTTCAGTATTTTTAAATAATCGTAAAAACATTTTAGCAGTTGTATACAGCATACGATTACTATAATAACGCTTAGGAGTGAGGGGGCCCATTTTTCATTTGTTTTGGGGTGCTACAGGTGTGTTGTTTGTTGCTGTTTGGGGGTTGCAAACCGGCCCACGCACTGTAGTCTGAATCATGAGACCTTGGTCTGCCTTAGTCATTGTGGAGGTTTGTCATTTGTGTATGCTAAGAAGCTTTCTGCTATTCAGGTCAGTTCTTGCCCTGCACACATTACAAACACACGCATACACACACATGCTATTAAAGGTTCCAAGCCGCTTTGCGCCATGTGTGGGCATCTGCAGCCATGTTGACACTCTACCCTGCATGTCCTTGTTTAGATATGAAGACAAACGTAATGTAAGTCCAAATAAAAATGAACACTTGTTCCTGGATGAAGTTTTGTTGAATCACTCTTGTGGATGGACATCCTGTACTTTGTATCTATACGGTCGTAACGAACCACCACACCGCTGCACGTTAAATGGCCAACACAGTCCGATTTGTTTGGAGTGGGAAACATTTTTCCCAGAGCAAATAATGGAAATCATCCTACCATTGTGACTAATTTTGGTCATGTTCAATTGTAAAAGTAATTGAAATAAATTTGACAGTAAAATGTCCCGCGACCCTTGTGAGGATAAGCGGATCAGAAAATGGATGGTTGGATAGTAAAATGTAAAAATGAAAACAAAAAGAAAAAAAAATCAGTCTTCACTTTAATGACCACGGCATGGTGGGAAGGTGAGTTTCCTGAGGAATCTCATTTTTTGACCTTCTCACTTATTAGACACAAGTCAACAGGAGATATCCATTGTTAATAAGAAGCGATGCAAGACACACACTAATCTAGGTAAAGAAGTTAGCTTGCGGGAAAAAAAAAAAGTAGCGTTAATTTTCTTTGATGTGGGCGACCTCCGGATGTCACCAGGACAGAGGATGAATAAAGTGAAGGAGCTCTATTGTCACCCTGTGCTAGAACCCCCGATGGACACAGATGGCGTCCGTTGATCCACTATTGGTTCCCTTCACAGTAAAATCAAAATAGCCACTATATCAAATGAGTACATATCTTTCATACTTGACAGAAGCAAAGTACAAACACAATGAAATGATTATTCATGAATGCATGACGATAACACGGCCGTGTCACTTCAATGCATTTTACTTGTTCACATTCTTGCTTGTAATAGAAGTGTAAAAAGCAGTTAACCCTGAAAAACTGACATTCAATCGATGGAGAAATCTCATGACAGATTTGAGGCTTTTCTTTCTCTCCCCCAAAATTCAGCCTGTACTCAAATCGTATCTCCTCGTATCGTTTCGAGGTTTAGCTGAGGTTTGAGGGGTTTACCGTTTTGTCATGTTGTGCAAATGCGAAGGAGCAGACGTAACACATGCCGAGTTTTTTTTTTTTTTTTTTTTTTTTTGCCTTGGGCACGCCTGCCGGCTACACAGGGGCTACACAGAGCTGATTACTTCTCAATACACTGTCGGTTTACTTTTAGCTTCTCGCTGAAATGAACTGATCCTGTTCATTTATTTTCCCGCTGAGAAGCAAACCCTTTTCCTTCTGTCTGACATCACATGATCAAATTGTCAAAGGAAAATTATACGTATTCATTTACAAAGGTGGACAAAAACAAAAAAAAAAAGCCTCTCCATCTCCATTCTTTAATGGTTGCCCAAACAAAGGTTTGTGCGGTTCTCCTCATCATTCCTTGTGTATAACTTCCTCGAAGCGCAAACAATAACGTGGTCAGACGTTTGATATGGTAAGTGTTGACTGCCTTTAATCAATAATAGTCCATTAGAATGGTCCTTTAAATGGGCTATTAGGGGAAAAAGAAGGGAACATTTGAATGTGATATAAAACAGCCCATTTAAATGGTTTTGCCAGACCCCCAATTAGTGATGCTGCACGCCCAATGTTTGTCATCTATACCTTCGTATACATGGCACTTGCCCTTTTTCGTTGTTGTCAACTACTCCATTTCCGTACCCCTGTACCTACTGGTTTGTGAAGCAACCACTAAAAACTGGACATGGAGGTTGGAATTAGTCAAGGACAAGCATGCAATTTTTGAATACCAGGTTCCGATTCGTCGTGACGTTTGGCCACATGACACCACAGAAGGGATGTTTCACTGGGAACCAGTAGATACAATTAGCAGTAGTTTCTCCTGCCTAGACGGAACGCGGCTGTTGTGAGGTTTTGCGATAAAAACGACCGCATTGACCTTTTGCGTGCAAGGCCGCCAAGGCACTGATTGGTCTCTTATCCATTGTTCACGGATCATTTGACATTGACGCTCAGGACGAACGGCCGAAAATGGCGGATAACAACCTAGCCACTCCTGGTGGCAACTATTAGCCGAAGGGAAGTGGCTGTCGCTAACGTGTCGGCCCGCGAGATGTGAAGTAACCCCATCAGAGCCGAGCTCCTTAAGTCCTTCTTATCTCCCACTCCGCAGCCCATCCAGCTAAGGCCTAATCTCCTCCGTTTGGTGTTTGCCTTCATGTGCAGCACGACACGAAGCGGTGGGGTGGGGGCGGAGGGGTGTTGGGGGTGGAAGTGCGATCGATGCTCATTGACGCGGGGCCATTATTTGAGCCGGTTGACTTCCTTGGCTAAATATCGCCAGCACCATCAGTCTCTATAGTCTTACTTGGTTATTTTCTCCCCTTCCTCGTAGAACAGCTGCAGGCTTTAAATGAAAGTGGCATTTGTGGTCTGCGGTCTTAGATTCTTGTTTGTGCATGCGTGGCCTTGATTTTTATGCTTGCCTTTTACGAAGCGGTTGATCTCGCTCCGTCTCTATATCGGGTGACTACAATTAGCGCGTTCTGTGCCGCGCGACGAACGCAAACCCTAATTTTGCCTCTCCATCTTATTATGCCAAGCGCTGTCATGGCGGGATTTCATGCTCGCATTAAAAATTAAACCACAAACTATTCATAGTGATCGCACAGTAAAATGTGACCTGATTAGTTTCTGGATCGGACGATGCAGTGCCAACCTCAACAGCAAGACGATTGAAAGTAGATCCTGTTGCTGTGCACTTCTTCTGAGGTGGGACGTAGATGTTGAATGCGGCTTGCCTTCCCAGCATCAAGACACAATTCCCGCTTACTCTGATCTTACCTTCAAATCCTGACTTAACAGCCCCTTTTTCAGTTTTTCTCAAGTACTAACTGAGTTTGTAGCCACATAGAAAGCTAAGAAAATCAATTCACGGTTCTACTTTTGTCAGGGCAAACTCATCAAAAATGAATTTGCCTCTCCCGCACTTCCCGCAGCTTTTGCCCTACCTCGAGTCCAATCTGACCGGATTCAAGCAGCTAGAAATCCTCAACTTCCGCAACGGCAGCGTGGTGGTGAACAGCAGGCTGAAGCTGGACAAGGAGGTGCCGTACAACGTGACCGAGGCCGTGCACTGCGTGCTCGAAGACTTCTGTAGCGCCGCGTCCAAGCGGCTCGACATCGAGATTGATAGCCGCTCCCTGGAAATAGAACAAGGTGAGGTGTCCTTGCTGATAGAATCTCTTCGACACTCCCTGAAAATAACTTTTTATTGCTTTCGCTATACTTTGCAATGTACAACCACAAAAACGAGTGAGACTCTAAGTCTGAGACCTCATAAAAATGTGGACACCCAATTTTGTGCCGACCTGTAAAGCTGGTGTCTGAGGCTAATTGATTCTAACTTTCCGGTAGCCCTTACCGTGCGAGACAGTGTTGTTTTTGCCAGCCATTTCAGATGGAGTCTTTTGGGCAAAAATGCTTCTTAGTTTTAGTCACATTTTAGTCATTCCTATTCGTGATAGTTTTAGAATATGTTAACAGGCCTCGTTGCGACTTGCCTGATAATATCAGCGTGGTAAGCCGTCAGATGCTGCTTGTGATTCGGGGTATTTTTGCCACCTAGTTTGGGGCCACATTTACCGTTACTGCTGTCTACAATGCATTGTGCTGTTCTTTCTGCTGGGTTGTACAGAAAGTGTGTCCATATATCTTTTCATGGTCCATCAAAGGAAAGCGTGTCCGTGTGTGTGACTATTGACCGCAGTGGGGTTGTGTGGTGCCGGTGTGGAGTTGTGCCCTGCGGTGCCGGCCAGGTGGTGGGCGTGACCAAACATGGATAGGACACAGCAGCATTGCTAATATTTTTTTGACAGACAGATTACACGCACAATAGGAAGAGATGTCATGCATTTTGAATGTCTGACACACCACATGCTAACAATTTCGTCCAATCTCGTCTCGTCAACGAAAACTCACACACGCGTCATATTTTAGTCATCAAAGAGCCACGTTGAGCTCATCGTCGTCTCGTTATCTTCATGAACAAAATAATTTCGTCATTGTAGACAAAATTGTGTTTGGAGCCCATTAAATTGCAGACATTTTCAGCAATGTACACACCGTTGCAAAAATTGGTGAGCTTTCGGATAGGTTGAGCCTCCCAAAAAGGCAGTTCATTAGTCTGAAAAATAAGGATAAACAATGATTCCAAGATGGTCTTCACACTGCCTAGTGCTCGGGTACTTTGTTGCAGTTGTCCTCAGGAATTGGGAAAAAATTTACGACGGACACTTTCTAACCGCATGACTGTATATGGCAATGCCAGGGCGACACGGTCACATCCTTTTTATCTATGATTTTGTTATTTTCTGTGGTCTTCTTGCTAAAAATGTCCAATTTTGCACATGAATGCTGCGAGATGCTCCCATCAAACTGATCTGCCAAAGAAGGAAATGAAGCAATGCAGATTTACCAGATTGGATGCTTTGTAGACACATCATAGCGATGCCACCTCACGTTTTGGGCACTTATCTTGCCTATGATCTGAGGGACACAATACAGTGCATGATTAAAATGGTCAATGTTGATTATGGAAATAAAGCGTTGAAGCAAGAAAAAGAAAACCAGATGAGGTTTTACAATTGTGATGTCTCATGGTATTGCATGTAAATAATGTATGCTGCTGGCCGTACCACGACCCACTGTAATTTCCACATGGTGTGCATCCATCCATTTTCGATCGGGCTTGTCCTCATTCGGGTCGCAGGTGAGCTGTGGCTTTTCGCAGATGACTGAGGCAAGAGGTGGGTTACAACCTGGGCTGGTCAACATGAAATTGCAAGAAAATAGACAATTTAAAGTATTTGATGAACCCAGCATGCATGTGTTGGAATGCGGCAGGAAGCCGGAGTACCTGGAGAAAGCCCAAGCAAGAACAGGAATGACACGCACACTCCACACAGGAAAGCCTGAGCCGAGATTAGAATCCTTAAAACTCACAATTGAGAGACAGATGTGCTAACAAATAGGCGCTTGGTGTTTTATCTGAGAAAAAGTTCTCGCTCTCTCTTGTACCGACTTCACATCCGACGGCGCGGTCATGAATAGTGATACAAAATTTATGGAGCTTGACTGGTTCTTCTCTAATGAAGTTTAGTGAGTTCTGGACTCAAGTCGTATGCTTATTCATGCCACAAGGTCAAAGTCCCCGGTTGTCTCTCCTGCTCGCACTGCAGCAGAAACGTGAGGCATCTTGTTTGCACGCACGAGGTCCCGACTGTATATCTTATTAAAAGTCGCCGCTTCGCCGCTCATCGATCAAAGCGCCCTTTCATTTCTCCTCTGAACGTGGAGATGGCGGTTGGCTGGCTGGCTGACTGTGCACGCATGTTAATGTCGCTTTCCTGATTTATTTTTTTTTTCCCCGCAGCTGACGAAGCGGACCCATGCAAGTTCCTGGACTGTAATGAGTTTTCACGCTGCGTGGAGAACAGTTGGAACAACGAGGCTGAGTGTCTGTGCGACCCGGGCTACAGCGCTGTGGATGGCCTTCCGTGTCAGAGCGCATGCGACCTCCAGCCGGACTACTGCCTCAATGGAGGCTTATGTGAAATCATTCCTGGCCATGGAGCCACATGCAGGTAAAGTATTTTTGGGGGGGGGAAAAAAAAAAGCAGCAAACGACTGCAGCTAATGCATTTCTTGTACCGGTACTTTGTGTGCGGATAGACACAAAAGCAAATGCACACAGAAACCTCTTACCGGAAAAGTGTTCAAGGATGTCTGAGAGTCGACGATTGTCATCTGGATGAACACATTGTTCTCTGTTGTCAGACAGAAAAATTAACCAAAAAAACATCCATCCATCCATTTTCTAAGCCACTTATCCTCACTCGGGTCACAGGAGTGCTGGAGCCAGTCCTCGCTGAATTTCAGGCAAGAGTACTGTCACTGTGGTCTGGTGACAGAGCATGTAAAAACAAATATGGACAAACAAAGCTACTCATGGCATAAACATAAAACAAGAATGTCAAGATTTTCTGTTTAAATAAATGAAAATGTTCATATCAACATTACGACAAGGCAAAGCAGCTTTATTGACAGAAGCAGTCGAACGTTTGGAGACACCTTCACATTCAGATGTTCTCAAACACATTAACAGGTCGAGAAATTCAAGCCATTAACGCTTGACAATGCACAGTGGTGAACTGAAATTCAGTCTGCGTCATAAAGCATCATCCACATCATGAAGCTGACTGAGAAAATAGCAGGATGAGCAAATGCCGTTATCTGGGCAAAAGGTGCCTATGAATCGAAATTATAAAACAGATTTTTTTTATGTACCCAATAATTCCATCAATATGTCGATAACTTTAGTATTACTCTACACCAGGGGTGTCAAATTCATTTTTGTCATGGGCCACATTGTCGTCACCATTTCCCTTGGAGGGCCGTTGTGACGGTGAAAACATATGAAGAAGTCAAGAATAATGCTTCATTCAATGATTGTTTTAGTTTGTGTAATGAGGGGTTTGGTAACAAGAAAATGCTTATAATATCTCACTTATTTCTTACATATGTGATGTTGAAATCTTGGTACAGATTTTAGCAATCATCGTAGAAGTAGACATGTTTGATTTGCTTTCGCGGGCGGGGGACACCCTGAACCGGTTGCCAGCCAATCGCAGGGCACACAGAGAGACAAACAACCATCCGTGCTCACACTCACACCTAAGCACAATTTTGAGTGTTCCATGAAGCCGCCATGCATGTTTTTGGAATGTAGGAGGAAAACCGGAGTACCCAGAGAAAACCCACCCGGGCCTGGGGAGAACCGAAGACCTCTGCACTGTGAGGTCGAGGCGCTAACCACTGGACCACCGGGCCACCCACTACTAAGTGTAATAATAGTAAAATACTTGAAGGATATTATCACAACATTTCTTTCCATAAAGCGTGGTGGGGGCATTCACTACGGCGACGGCAAAATATTCATGAAGTGATTTGTCGTATTTGTGCCCGATTCTAGCTAACCTCGCTAATTTCCATGTTCCAGATGCCCTGTAGGCAAATACTGGCACTACCATGGGGAGCGCTGCAGCGAACTGGTGTCGCTACCACTCGACCCGTCGTTCATTATCACCTGCCTCGTGGGGAGCCTCTGCCTCGTTTGCGCCATCGTCGGCATTCTGGTGTTCCTTAACAAGAAGTGCACGACGACGAGGAAGGCGGTGACTTTGGTGTAAGTCGGAAACGCGTTTGCGTTCTGGTTCTTTTTTATGATGTGAGGCTTTTTAAAAGCGTCTTCCCCCTACTCCACTAGGCACAGCCTTGCTCCCTATGCCTTTGAAAATACTTTGAGGGTCAACCCTGTGTATGAAAATGATGATGGCATCTTAAGCCAAGTGTCCACACTGCCATGCCCCTCCAGTTCGGCTTCATCCGGCTCTCAACAGTCTGAGCAGGAACTGTATGCCTCAGTTGAAAACATACATCTCAGTATCGAGGTACACGGCGCCGAGCGGCACGAGCGCTTGGACTAACAACCACGCTACTAACCGCTCAAGTAGCCGACTCATTGCTCTAACACGCTCTCAGCCATCTGTGACTTCGGAACCTCCAACATCCAATTGGTTTGGGTTTGGAAATCGTTTTTCTCGGAGGAAATAATGGACATAGAAATCATCAGTTTCAGAGTCAAGACTACGGAATAAATGCGATGAAAAATGACATCGGTCCCTCCAAATGTCAAATGAAAAAGCCAAACATACTTATTGCTAAAGGGCGCTAATCACTTCAATTCTAACCTTTGACTCTCGGATGTCTTTCGGCCGAGCTCTCATGGGAAGTGCTGATGTCTCGCAGGAAAATGAAAAGGCATGACAGTGGCCCTTTTTAGAAAGCCATAAAAAGCCAGAAGTAAAACGGGGGGCTAACTGTCAAAACATGCTTAGTTGATTCCATTGGAAAATGTGCTCTCACTTGTCTGCGTCTGCATTTTCTGACGCTGTTGCTGCTCACATATTTAGACCCTAGTATGTCATTCAAACAGCCAAGACTGGATTTATTTTTTTCCCTTGGGCCATAAATTCTCCCTTAACAAAGGTGACAAACGTGTGATGAGAGCAGGAATAGGAATCTGAGCCATTAAACCGCTGTACGTCGCTGTAAAAAAGTGTCCGTGTAATTATTGTTGTGAATTATAAACCGTCTGTGTTGTTTAGCACAGTGCCGTTTGGCGGGAGGCCATCTTGCCGCAAGTCATGCATGACAGCGGTTCATTTCTGAAAGCCACAAGTCAAAGATGAAGCATTAATCAAGAAGTTTAATCACTAAAATGCGCTGTTGTTTTTTTTTCTTTCCTTCCAATCTGTTTTGGATGTCTAATGCAGGGCAGTGATTCAATTTTAAAATTTATGTTCATTAATGTCATTGGTTTGCGTCCAAATTCCTTTTCATGGAGGGCATTTTTCTCGAATGGGCAATGATTTCTGTCTAGGGTATCCTAAGTGAAAAAAAGTGTGACGAGAACAGCAGTAATAGCAATCCGAGAAACTAAATGGAACTATGTTGCTACATTTGCAATTTTGTCATTTTGTTACGAAAATTGGAGACAGCGCAAGTACATTTTTCATCTGCTTTGGACTGTGTGACCAGTAAATTTGCACGAAAACATACACACACATATACGGTATATTATATGCATATATATATATATATATATATATATATGCATATATATATATGTATATATATATATATGCAATGACGATGGTCCATTCAATTTGAATATGTGTTGCAAAAATGCAACAAAAACCCAAAGGAATTTTTGATAATGTTTATAAACCCAAATCATTCAAATGAGCTTTAATTTGTTTTTTTCTTTTATGCTGAACAGATATGCGATAAAATTGTGGATTAGGTGTTGTAGAAAGGCCACAAAAAGCAAATCATCGACCCAGAATTCAACCCTTGTTGACAATTTTGTGCACCTTTCGAGGTATATTTTTTTTCACGAATATCACTGCTCAATAAACAGAGATGGAAGTAAACATTTCGATAATTTTTGTATGCGCTGATTCAGAACTGCCCTCTTTTTTCTCTAGCACATCAGGTTTTCGTATTAGCACGACGGCTTCTACTACGACTAAATATAAAATAATAATTATATAATTGTATAAAATAAGGATTTCAAAAACAGGTGGATTTTTTTTCTAAAACGTAATAGCTATAAATTACGACACATGTAAAATCTTTGTTCCACAACCATTCACAGGTCAAACTTAAATACAAAAATGAAACTATAATCTCCAAAACCTGACGTGCTTTATGATGCATCAGCATCGTAAAAAAATCGCTGCTTATAATTTGCTGTTGACGAGTTTATTTTGGAAGAATAGCAATCGAGATTTTCGAGGTTCTACTGCGCTTGTGTCAACTGTTTAAGGACATGCTCTGAGGACACAAAACACAGATGAGCCACCCCTACAATGTCGCAAAACTTCCAAATCTGCTGCGCAAAACCCTCCGAAGATGACATCTGCTGTGTAGTTATAGCTGTAGGTCAAAATGCTTGTTGTATACTGTAGGGCTCGTCACTTTTTATTTACTCTCCATCTGCTTACGTGCTCTCCAGGCGCCTCTGCTGGCATGAGAAATTAATGAAGCGTGTCGTAAACACAGTGGGTGTCCACTTTGTGTGTGTGTGTGTGTGTGTGTGTGTGTGTGTGTCTTTCCCACAGATCCCCAGACAACTCTACACCACAAGATCCGAAAAGTTAGTATCGGAGCTGGTGGACTTCCATCAATGCATCCCGCACAATGAGGTGAGAAAACCACACGCTGTCAAATGACACCCGGAGATAGTTGAGTAGGAGTGGGAATGAGACGGAGTCATGATTAAAAAATGCTTTGATCCCATTGGGTTAAATTTGCACTTTATCTTCAAGTGTGACTGTAAATATTTCAGCACGTTTTGCATGAAACATTGGATTGCCCCAGTGATGCAATGCAAAAGTAAAATGTGTGCTTGAGACATATCCAATTATTCGCGACCAATATGCATTCCTAAAATTGTTTGTGAATTAGCGCTCTGCTCAGAACAATGACAAATTGTCTTCGGATCTCCCACAGGATTTTAACGAGGTTGATGCCTGGCATTAGGCTGGGTGACAGCAAAACTGAAACAGAAGACTTTATGAATGTTTTGTGCACTTTTAGTCTGGCTAAGACATTATTATACCCCATCGACCATATTGGTAAAAATACGGGTGTGTTGTTTTCGTCACATGTACGGCGCTTCCAATACTTGCCAGAAATTCCTGCAGCTCCTAATGCTTAACGTGGCCCTCCTGGCCTTGGTTCTTTAATCTAGAATAAAAATATGATGTTTTGCAGGAAGTTAATTGTGCATAACAGCGCTCAGTGCTTTTAGAAATAATTTCTCAGTAAAGGAGCCACAAAAAGATACACCAAAAAGAAAACTGAAACATAGTTCGGAAACTGAAGCAAGACTGACCGAAAATGTTTGTAAACCAAGGTTCCACTGTTTCCCAAGCAAAGTCCTTGCATGAAGTTCACTTTTGCAAAAAAAGCTCCAAATTAGGGCTGTACATGTCATGCTTGGTTTCATCAGATGCCATTTGTGCTCAAACTTTTCATTTTGCTTATGTGCCTGCTTGGAGCCTGCCCATACAGTTTTCTCTGTGTTGCAAGAAGCCACAAAAAAGACGAAAAATCCCCGACATGCGACGAATGCAAGAGATTCTTGTCATTAGGAGACAGCCAGTAGAAATTCCTGCCGTTCCTTCAATGCTGCTTCCTTGACGGGTTTTGTGGGGAAGTCCAGTTGCCAGTAACAACAAACAGTGTTCCATGATACATCAAATACCTTGGAAATTCCTTTGTACCTTTCTGCTGACTGATACCTTTTAAGAATGACATCCCTCTGATGCTTTGGAAACTCTCTGGGGAACCATACGGCTTTTGGAAATGGAAATGTCCAGAAAATCCCACAAAACTTTGCCAGGGGTTAATCAGGGGGTGTGCATCGTGCTCTCTGGGGAACCATACGGCTTTTGGAAATGGAAATGTCCAGAAAATCCCACGAAACTTTGCCAGGGGTCAATCAGGGGGTGTGCATCGTGCACAGTTATAGTGAATGCGGAAACACTTTGGAAATGATGGAGCGCGTGGCCTTCTTTGGATCTAATGTGTCTCCTCTGGCTTCTCTCAGACGTGGCGACTGCCAAATGAATACAGAACGTGTTTTCTTCTGTGGACATCCGACAGCGAAGGCGGTGAGGCCACTGTGGTGTGATGGCGCGGCGGTGGCGTCCGGGAGCCTCAGTTGCCATGGCAACAAACCGAGCGAAGGATCTATGCTTATCTGGATCTATGATGCCCCCCTCCCCGCCCCCACCGCTCGACCAAGCCCCCGTAGAGTGTTAGGTCCTGAATTGTTCATAGTGATGACTGAGTCTTGCTAGACGGAGCGATACGGATATTCCAACATGTGCGGATTGACGTTGTTTTCATGTGGAATCGAATATTTATTACACATTACGTATGGTAGGAAAATTGCTTGTTTGGCGGTTCTTTCCTCACAGTGAGGTATTTATTATTTACAAAGTGACGCACTTGGTGATATTTCACTTTAGATGTTCTTTTTGTGCGCCATTGTCAACCCAAAAATAAGAGAATGAATGTATTAGTTGATAGCAAAAAAAAACAAAAACAAAAAAAGGCTTAGGTGTCCTATAAGTTCTTCAAAGCTACTCTAAGTCTGATCATTTCTTTGACTTTTTTTGTACACAATTTACTGTTAAAATAAACTTTTTTTTTGTTCATTAAGTGTATTTAGTTTTTTTTTTTTTTTTTTGTGGCAGCTGAAAAGGTCAGAATATATCTGATCTCCAATAATTGACTGTGGGATTCACCGTCCACTGAATCAAATAAATGCCTTTTATTTTTCCTTGTCAAGTAAAAATGTTCCCACGTATGGACACCCTGCCTCAAATAATCAAGAATTTGCAGCATCAAGTGAAACGCCTCACCACAATTAAAGGCCTCATATATCCCAATGTGAAAAAAAATATTGAGAGGCCATGCCTCAAATAATTGTAGGATGTTGTCCACTGAATCAAAGTACCTCAAATAAACAGAGTTTTTCACTATCAGTGGAAAAATATTTGCGCAGATGCCATGCCTCAAATATGTTTGTAGAGTGTGCCTTTAATCAACGATGAACCTCAACTAGATGAATACTTTTTTCCCCTTTCGGTTAACAAAATATTTCTGCAAACAGACACCATGCCTCAAATAATCACACCTCTTGTTTTCCGAGGCAAAATCAGTCAGGCCATGCCTCAAATAAACGCTATGTGTCTCATACGCTAAAACAAATAAACATTTCTTTCACCCCATCAGGATTTTTCCCTTATCAGAAAAAATAAATAGACTTCCGCTAATAGATGCCATACACAAATCATTGTGCGTTTTGGCTACCTAAACAAGTCAATGCTTCCACTCAAATAAAACCTTTTTTTTCCCCAATGAGAAAGTGCAATGGCAGAGAAAGAGAGAAATTGCTTCACATAAGGGTATTTTCTTCTGCTGATACAAACCTCACTTCAAATAATGTGTGCTTTGGTTCCCATTAGGAAAAAAAATATTTGCACTAGCAACCGCCATACTTCAAGCAATATTTGGCCATGTTGTTTACTCAAACAAGTACATGCCTCACTTCATATAATTACCTACTTTTTTTCCATTCAGAAAAAAAAAAGTGTTGTTGACATGCCTCAAACAGTTATCATCCACTGAAACAAACACATCAAATTAAAATAGTTTTTCCCCCCCATCGGGATTTTATTTCCTCAATCACAGATGCTTTCCCTCACATAACTGTAGGACGGCAACAATTTTCCCTTGATAAATAACCAGACAGCACACATTTGGAAGAATATTAATTGGGACAAATGATTGTTTTAATGAGACAATTTACCATGTTTATCTTGGTCAACCACACTAAATGTGCAAGTTGAAGAACAAATGGCTGCAGAGAACCTTTAATCTGAGTTAAACGCCGCTGATCACCTCGCGTGCGTGCGAGCCTCAAATGAACATCAGCCACACGACCCTTTTGCCTTCGTTTGAAATTATCTCTACGTTAATCTCGTTTGCCGCAATGCCCATTAGGACGTCAAGTCCAGTTAGGAGTTACTTGCTCGTAAACCGCCGCGCAACTCACGATTCTTCACACTTTGACTTTAATGAGCTCAAGCGCTAAAGGAAGAAGAATAAAACGTACGGTGAAGAATAGAGGGTGTAATATATTTTATTCTCTACGGTGTCACAGTGCAAATACAAACAGAATGCAAAGATGAAAGATGGTGTGTGCGTTTGAAGAAGCAAACATAAACACACTGCAAACATGAAAAGCAAAAGGTCCCGCATATCAAATGAGCATCGATACAAAAAAAAAAAGACTGAGATGAAACGATGAACGCCACACGTTGTCTCAAGCTTCAAGTAACAACGTGAGATGCTGACACGCTTGATGAAAACAATTAATGCAGCGCTCATTAAGGTCTCAGGTTGGACTTTTTTTGGTGAGGTGCAATTTTAAGGCCTCTCGAAGGGTGGTGAACACAACATCTACAAACAACACAAAATGAAAGGAGACGGGTAAGATTGCATCATCGATCACATCCCGCTTGTCTTCTGACACGTGTTGCCTTGCACGAGTTCACTTGAGAAGATTCTGCAGCATGGCGGTGGCGTACGTGGGCCGCGCCTGCTTGTTCTCGATGGCTTTCTTCAGGTAATGGATGCCGTCGCAGCGCTCCCAGATTTCCTCGAACTGCCTGGGTAGGATCTCAGCACCCCTCTTTCTGGTCAGACCGGTCTCTTCTAGACTCAGCTCGCACATCTCCATATCATCTTTCCCTGAGGCGAGCGAGACAATTCCACATGGAGAAAAGTACGATTCCGTCAACAAGTTCAGCATGAAGATGAAAGAGCGAGATGTGAAAGAAAGAAAGAAAGGAATTTGAGGGCTGTAGCGATGGACTATTATACAGCATATCATAGACAGTATATCATTCTTTGGGAGTCAGTGCGATGATATCATGGTCTCATCGCTGTATCTCTATCCATCATCTTAACTTTGATCTTTTTAAAGTAAAATCCAATCTTATGGAACCAGTATTATGTGGGTGGAGGAAATGGATCGTAAACGTGCCAAACATTTTAGTAAAGCGATTCGAAATGCATTGAGTTAAGGCTTTCAGCAGCAGTAAAAATAAGCGGATGGTAGCCTTCTTAGCCACTTCCCCACGGCACTCCTGCAAGGACTCTTCCAGGATCCAACACAATGTTGTTTTCACAGCCGCTTCTCGGTCAAGTGATAGGTTACCGCTAAAATGAAACCCAGGAGCTCGCAAAATGAGTAAAAAAACAAACGTCTTTGGGAAGGGGAAAAGGCCCAGCCAGGAGACAGAAAGGGAGTTGACAACTTTCAAGAAAAAGAAGGCTACATTGAATAGACAGGATCAAGAGTCCTACTGAAAATACGGATTTATCTCAATGGGAGAATCCCACGCACCAAGCCCACTCTGCGCAATATGCAACGAGGATGAGTCGTATTTTTCATGCGCTTTGTATTTGCAGTGTATCTTATTTTGAAGGCACGTTTAAACGTTACCATAGCGACCACAGAGCATTTTTCGGTCAGATGGGACGTTTCCGTGTCATGATTCGTGTTTATTATTATGTTTAGAAAATACCACAGTATTTATCCGCCACACCTTAAAGGCCGGTCCCTGAAAATATTGTCTGACAATATGGTCTAAACATTCAAAACGAGCCCTTGCTAACTTTCTTGAGCTTCGGAAAGATGGAAAATTAAACCAAGTCAGGTCAGGTGAGTAGTGTGATTGATCCAGTACAGTGATGTTTTTCACGGCCAGGAACTGTCAGATGCTCAGAGCATTGTGAGCAGGCGGGCGGTCATGGTGAAGCGGCCACAAGTTTTCCTGACACAACACCCGCCGAACAACAGAAGGAGGATTTCTTTGTAGATGTGCTGGTGGATCGCCAGCCAGGGCATTGCAGTGGATGATGCCGCTGTCATGTCGAACAATGTGCTCAACATGATTTTAAGCATCTTGATTTCTATCGGCTCGGCTACGTCAAACTGTTCAACTGAAGGTTCTTGTGTGAAGATCCATGACTCATCACGAGTGATGACTCTCCCTAACAAGTCTAGTCTCCTCATCACTCACTGCTCATTGCTTGACAACCTGACACAGAGAATATGTCTTTAAAAAAAAAAAAAAAAAAAAAAAAGTTCAATGCTTTCTGAGAGTTGAGATCACAGTTATACACCCAAGGGCAATTACATTGAAGGGGAAGTACTTTGTAATTTGGGCTTGACCTGCCATGCATATTAGGTAACAGTGCTGTTTTTGCAGGTCTTTGTCAAATTTCAGTCTCTCTGGCTGTGTTTTCACCTGTTGGACATGAAACTTTTCAAAAGCTCCAATTTCTTCATGACATCCTTGTCGTGTAAATGTCCTCTTGGCTCACCTGCCACCAACACAATGGGCCGCTTGTCCGGGTGCAGCTCCATCTGTCGGGCGATCCACGGCCCATCAAAGTGGGCGTACCACCAACCCTTCTTCTTATTCTGCGGGTCCTTGTACTGGTCGGCGGGCCGGATGAAAGGGATGCGAAAGTAGCGCTGCTGCCGGTTCATCGCCACTTCTTGGTGCTGGGCCATCATGGAGGGTGTGGGGTTCTGTTGCGCTGTCGAGGGAGCAAAGAGCCTCATTGAGTAGAAATATCAAGCACAAGTGCTGAACTGAACACACAGGATGAAAAAGCTCTCCCATAATGAATTCACCTTCGGCTGAATTCTATTCGTTACGATGGTACCTTGAAAGTTGAAAGCTTTAGAACATGTACAATTTGAAATTTGAATCGTTCAGGAAATCTACATTATGCCTTAAATGTCAAACAAGTATAATGCTGATCATCACGTGAGCTATCGGCACGCCTCACTAGGCTTCATTTCAGTCAGCATCTCAGGCAACATCAGCTCTCTGCTCTGTAGAAAGGAGAGCTGATTATGATTGGACTTGTCTACAGCTACGTGATAAGTTGTTTGTGCAGGAACAAATGAGAGGTGTGTGCGGCTCCCAATAGGTCAGTACTATCAACATTTGTGACAGAAGGCTATTTAGAGGATCAGAGCTGGCTTTTTACTTCACTTTGTAACCATGGCCATACCATTGTATGTTCTATTTTGCTTTATGCCGTTTCTTGGTTGTAGCTATTCCATCTGAGTTTGTTTTTTTTATTTACATATTAAGAAAACAGGGATCGATAGTTGATGAAATAAAACTACATGTGACAAAGAAAAACTGAGATCAGTTTTGGATTCTGCACCTCAAAAAATAAAGTTAAGTTAAAAGCAACTGTCTGACATAAGAGTCTCCAGCGAGTTGACAATCATCATAAATATTAGATATGAGACTATTTGTTGCATCAAAGAGTCTAACATGTCCCCATTCCTTATCAATTTCAGCAATCCCTTTTTCTTGTGTAAAATGCCAAAATGCAGATCAGCATTATGCTTTCATGCATCTAAACAGTGTGTCTGTGTGTGTGTGTGTGTGTGTGTGTCTGTGTGTGTGTGTGTGTGTGTGCGCGCAAAAAAGCAAAGCAGTGAGCTGTCACATTAGCGTCTGCTGAACCTGACAAAGCATGACCGGCAGTTACTTGTTAATTAGAATAAATATTTTTCAGCACATAGGCGGCGGTTGCATTTTCAGGCTGCCGTATTTTGCCGACTAATTGAATTTTCCCAAGCACAGGCAGCTTATTTACAGGCAGGTCATTAATCCCTGCCAATGAAAGTGAGGGACGGGAGGGAGGCGGAGAAAATAAACAAAACCATGCACATGAGGTATGTAAAATGCATCGGAATGAGGACGAATAGAAACATTTCCGGAACTCACCATAGTCA